TCTCCCGCCCTCTTTGTGCTCTCTAATAACTCACCATATCTTCCTCTTTTCTTTTTCACAATTGTGCTTTTTTCTTAAATTAATTTATTTTTTCTTATTCTACGACTTTTTTCAATTGTTCATCATTTCTGTCCTGCCCACCCAAAAACTGACACACTTTTAGGACTGCTGCACCAATTTTTTCTTCTCTTCCCAATTTGCCCCTCTCTTCCCTTGTATCTCAATGCTTCTTCTTCAACTTTTTTGTGACCCAAGTGACCGACACATCAACAAACAAACACCCACACCACCTTAACTACTGCAATAACTGTACACAATATCCTTCTGCTATTTATTCTTCTTCCTCTTCTTCTTCTTTGTTGCAACTGTATTACCTACTTCACTATTTCACCTGCTTCAATATGTTTATCGATGCTTTCTTCTTCTCCTCCATCCCTTTTTTGCTTGAACATCATACTTCTTCCTTTTCCCTTTCATTGGACCTTGTATTTATTTGATACTTATTAAAGATATGAATTGATGAATCAGGGTGTAACTTTTCATTTTATAGTTAAAAGATGAGGTAATTTGTTTACTAAATTTAAATTAAGATTTCCACCAGGGTAAACACAAACTATTTACATCAAACTATTAATCAAAGCAGGTTTCCGACTCTTGCAAACGCACCAGAGGGTAAAAGGGGTATGTAAAAGTGTAAAATGCGTAATGAAGTGAGTTATAAAAGAGACACTAAAGTGAAGGGAAAGCTCTTGAAGGGGACTAGCGGTAGCGGTGAAAGGCACTTTCAGAAGTTCATACTGCGCTTACAGACAGACATCTTTATATCGAAGCTCTGACTGCGGACTACTGAGCGATATTTGCGCAGATCCTCTTCGTGCTCTTTCGAGTGCATCGGCAAATATGACCGAGGCTGGCAAAGGCTCTGCAAAAGTAGTCAAATGATAAGATCCTTTAAAAAAGAAACGAAAAAGAAATCTAAACATACCGAGTAGTGGGTGAAAAAGTCCTTGTAGCCACCTTCAAGAAGATACATTTCAGGATAGTTTAAACAAGGATAAGTTTGAGTATTCTGGACGCGGTCTCGGTTGCGCAAGAAGCGACACCTGAAAGCAAGATGTACAAAGTTAGATGAGAACAAACAACGGCAAACAATTATACAAACTTACAAGCTAGGTCCACGCTCTGATGAGAATTCACAGTGAAAAATGAGAATGCGGCGCTTTGACAGGTTTTCATTTGTCCTTAAAGTGAGTGAGTTGTTTGGGAGGAATGTTTTCAGAACTAGCTCCTGAGTGTAAATATTGATTGCATTCTGAATGTGACCACCCTCAAACTCGTATGGATATCGACAGTCGATGACAGTAAAAGACTCAACGCAATGATTGTAGCTGCCATTGATCAAGCTGGCCAGAACATGAGAAGAGATGGACTTGAGATCTTGGTGCTTACAATTGGACAGAAAAGGCAGCAAATAAGGCTTACTAAAGTCACCGATCAAAGCATGATTGGTTGATGACACCTGAACGGCTTGCATAATTGAGGCATGGTTCTCACTGAAGCTTTTTTGAAGTTGATTCCCGAATTTGTGGCCACCTTGGCGAGAAGAGGACAAAGGGACAACGATGTTTTCATCGTTCTTTGTTTGATTCAGAAAATTAAACTCTGGCGTTAGCTCAAACTTGGTGTTTTTAAAATTGAAATCATTTCGTTTTGGAGACAGAGTGTTTTCAATTGAAGACAGCACTTTGATTGACTTTTTAAGAGGAAGGGACTTGTGAGCAGAAATCTGGTCACCACTTTTATGCTCTTTAGATTTACGAGATCCATCACTTGACATGTGATCAACATTCTAAATAGAAATAGGGTTAGACACAATATGAAAACAATGCAACAACAACAACAAATCATACCTCAAAGCTCAGTGAAGATGAAGAGTCGTTGAAGTCGGTGGAGAGGCAACGACGGGCAATGTTTTTGCGCTTCCGATGTCCACGCGCACTGTTCTTTGGCGTCGCTTGTTCACTACTAAAGACGAGCTGCGTCTTGGGCTCTGGTTCTTTAAATGGCTGATTGAGAAGGCTGTTGATGTCAATAGAGCTGGTGCTCGGGATGTCGACCGTTGAACTCGGCGCATTCTGACTGCTGTCGGCCTCATCCTGGAAGGCCTCGCTGATGAAGTTCTCCTCATCGAAGCTGCCGATGCTCATGAAGGAGTCGTCCATGATCCTCTCGGACCTCACTTCCCAGCCAAAGGAGTTGTTGACAAAAGGAGGAGGGGGAACAAGAAAGGGGGCACCGAAAATCGGCCAACTCTGGCCGAGGTTACCACAGCGTGACTGCCGTTTGCGCGCACTTCTACGGCAACGGCTTCTACTCTTCTCAGCTGCTCTGAGCTGACTCAGTGCACTGAACTGCCCGCCCTTGCGTGCGCAAAGTTGGCTTTGTAGCGCCAGGCGCTAAAATTCAAATATTTCCGCGGCAACCAGTTGCTGCTGCTGCTTTAAACACCTTGGGCCCACCAAACTCGAAGAGTACGTACGTGACCTTGTGTGTTTACACAAAAAAATTGACTTTACTTTGTCACAATTTCAGCGCTCATTTTTCCCCTCTTCGAGTATAGTACAAAAGCTGGGCCACCTCGCCGATGAGGACCACCAGAGAGAGGGCGGCACCGATGAAAAGCAGGTAAAAGTGCTCATCANTATAGTACAAAAGCTGGGCCACCTCGCCGATGAGGACCACCAGAGAGAGGGCGGCACCGATGAAAAGCAGGTAAAAGTGCTCATCAATGTGCACCAGCTCCAGCTGGTCGTAGCTAAAGTGCCGCTCCTCAGTGTCGTACTGGAATCGGCTCATCACCTGTTTCATCTTCTTCTGTATCTCGCGCCGCTTGGTCGTCCAGCGGTACTGCTGCGAGGACCACTTCACGAAGAAGCCCGCCTCGGTGGCAATGCGAATGCTGAAAGTGAGAGGTACACTTATGAAGCATTTGAAAACAAACACAGGTTCTTACAATCGGTCAAAGTGCACCGTCAGATTGGAGCCATAGGGAAAGACCAGTCCGTAGTCGTCGGTGAAGATGCTCGAGTCGGCATCCGTCTCCATGTGAAAGTACGCCTCGCCCAGCTGCTCTGCCCACTTCTTCATCACCAGGTACTGCCCGACCAGCGCATACGTCCGCTCCGGGTGGTAGATCGCCTCTCGGGAGATCTTGTAGAAGCCCTCCCGGTACGTGTCCACCTCTTCCATCTTCTCGAGGATGACGCGAAAGGTGGCGCTAATGTTGATGTACCGCTTAAAGTCGTAGACGAAGGTGGACGAGGAGACGAGCAACGGAGTGATTTTTCCCGCCACCACCAACTCCTTGAAGGCCTGCAGCGTGTCCAGATTTTGCAGTTTGAAGCTGCGCGTCAGAAAGGAGATCAGCACACCGCCGTAGGCGGACAGTAGAATGAAGCCGCCAAACCAGGCGAGCTGCAGCAGAAGCGAGGCAGCCACTGACTGCTTTGCAGCAGTCCACTCAGACTGGGCCGCCCGGCCAGTCATTCGAGGCGCCTTCTGCAGCAATGCAGCCAGTGCCAGCCAGTCGTAGCTGACAGGCGGGGGCGGCCACCGACTGATCGCCGTGATCAGCCGCCCCGTGAGCAGCATCGAGGCGACCAGCAGGAGGACTATGGCCCAGCCGCTCAGACTGAAGGGTCGAAGGAGGACGCCGGTGAGCGGCGCCCTGGGCGACTCCAACGTCAGAAAGGTGATCCTCGAGCTGAGGTTGGGCGTGGTGAACTCGATCAGCCGCTCCTTTCCGTACACCAGGCGAATGGAGACGGCGCCCATGCCGAAGGTGGCATTGCCACTGATGACCGCTCCGAGCAGACCGTCAAAAGTGACGCCGCCTTCCTCCTTCGGCTCCAGTCCCCAGGCCCCCTGCATGTCCAGAATGTCATAGGTAAAGTTGAAGTAGGTTCGCATCACCGAGATGAATGAGACGTCCATGCCGTGAGTGGCGTTGAAGTGGCCGCTCTCTGGGTCGTATTCTCCGTAGAACATTGGTGGATTCTGTATTTTTTTTTGTTTAAAAGTGTTGACTTTTAAAACATTAAGCGATGTTTAAAGCCTTACCGGATTTGTGGCAATTAACAAGTGCTGACCTTGAAGATTAAGCCTCCTATACTGACTGTTTGGTATGAACATTTTAAAGCGACTGATACTTTTGCAATGAACTAATATTTTTTGTTTTAAAAACCCTTGATTTTATTTGGCACATGTTTTTTGTCTACGGTTTTTTTATTTTAATTTATTCACGCCTTTGCAGTGTGTTTCAGAGAGTGCATTTTTTGAAAACTTTCTGAAACATTTTTGCACTTTTGTAATTGAGCTATAACTTTTGCTGCTAATTGTTGTCACGCAATTTTACACTTGAAAAAAGGTAACTAAAGCAAAAACATAAAAGTCAATCAATAGAAATCCGATTAAAGCAAAGCACAAAATGGAAATTAAGAGGTGCAATCAGTTAACGGCCAATCGATTAATTCCTTGGAAAATTAATTGTCGTGAATCGATTTTTATTGCAACAAAAAGCAGCAGTTTGAAAAAATATTTTATGTTTAAGCAAAAAATGAATATTTACAAAATAATGTTTACTAAAGAATCTCTAAAAAATAAAATAAAAAACCTCAATTACCAGGACAATAATAGCAATGGCCATTCCGCTGGACCAGAGAATAAAGATGGATTTGAGGTCGTAGATGCGAAAGGTTTTAAAGGAAGATCTAGCAAAACGACATTGCGACACTTCAATGTTCTCTGCTATTGTTTTCTTCAACTCCCACGACTTGCGCATCAGAAAATCCTTGATAGCTTTGCTGATCCAAAATTCAATTACGCCAGCCTCGTGCAAAGTTTTAATTCTGTTGTTTTTTACGGTTTTAATTTGGTCAAGAATGAAACTGTTAGACAAGACCAAAATAATTCCATAAAAAACTTACAACTTATTAAAGGGCTCCAGCAGTGGACTCTTCTTGGCAATGGCCATCGTCGTGAAGGACTGCACCAGACTCTCCTGGGCAATGTGCAGCGTCACCGTTTGCAGGTTCTTCAACGCCACCAGCACTCGCCGGGCAGCGATGACAATGTTACGCTGCCCATTTGCCTCCACTGTCGGAATGAGGTAGTTCTCATTGGCGTAGACGTTCTTGCCTCCGGTTCGGTTTAGATGACGCCCAATCTGGTGGAAGACGCGATTCCGCTCAGGAGTCGCCTTCAGGAAGGCGTACTTGAAGACGCCAAAGTTGGCCGCCAGATAGATTAAATGGGAATCGTCGTTGATTGCCTTTAGCAGGTCGGCGACGCTGTCAATCGGTGGATCGTATTCGGGCACGGTGATGATAGAGTTGAAGATGGAGTTGTAAATCTGCGCGAGGATGAGCGCCGCTAGCATCCACACGGCGTACTTTAGGCGACTGGAGCTGTTGGGCTCTTGCCAGACGCTGGTCGCTGAAAAAAGGGATAGTCTGTTACAAAAGAATTATTTTGAAAAACAATCCTCACTTACACTGACTGACAAAGATGGCGTAGAGGCGCAGCGAGACGAGGACCTTGTCGTAGTAGAACAGCTGCTGTGAGCGCTTGCTCAAGTTGAGTTTCAGTGCGAGGTAGAAAATAACGAGGAGAAAAGCAAAAATGGCAAGGATAAGCAACCAGATGTAGAGGCCAAAGGGTCGAAAGACGATCCAGTCGCGGTTGGCGAGGCGGTCATTGCGCGAGATGAAGGTAATGGTGTCCGCCACCA